GGCGGGGCACCACCCTCCTGGTTAACAGAGCTGTGTTCTCCTTTCATGAGGCTTTCTCTGCCACCATCAGCCAGTCACCAACATGCTCTCAAAGTGAGGTTTGTCTCCCAGCCAACCACCACACCGGAGCCTGTGGGCACCGCCTCTCCACAACAAGTCCTTCAGACCATGATCTCTCATCTCCTGTGCCTTTCGGGTCTCAGTTCCCATCCCTATGGCTTACGGCAGTCTTGCTTATCTTTTTGACCTCACTGGCCCTTGCTATCCCATCAGAGGTCTCGGAGCATCATCTGTGGGGAGCACTGCTCTCCATGGTCAGCCACCGTGTGACACCTTAGCCTCTCAGCCAGTTTCCTGCCTCTATACTGGAACAGTCTGGGGACAGGACCCTGCTTGCATGGCATTTGAACAGCCAGGGTCTAACCGGAGTGCTGGCGCATGGTAGGTGTTCTGTAAAGGTTTGAAGAGGAACTGCATGGTAATGGGGCCTTTCCTCAAACTGGTGTTCACAAAAATGAGGCAGACTCGATGCAATCCGAAAATGACAAAATAAAATGTAAAGGGGTCTTCCTGCTCAAAGACAATCCAAGCACCAGTGTGGTTCCAGTGGCTGCTCTATATGGGAGGTATGATTGACACAGGCATGTCCCTTGGCTGTAGAATGCACATTTGTTTACAACCTTGGATAATTGCCGTTATTCACAGAGCACACAAGAAAGGACTTGCGAGACTTGGAGAAGCTGGCTTGTGTGTTTTGAAATGCAGCAGAACCCACCTGGGCCTGGGTTGGTTTGTTTTACTTGTGTCAAGTCAGAGCTAATTGCTAATGTTTCCTTCCCCGCCCCCAAAGAGTTGATGACCTCATGTACAAGAACCATGATCCTGAACCAGCTTTCTGAAATGTCAGAACTTGCCACAGCCATCGTCCTGTACCCAGGCTGTGACTCGTCCTCAGCGGCTGGAAAGCGAGGACAGAGGAAGCAGCAGATCAACTGACAATGCCCTCAACCTCAACCTCTCACCACGTGGTCAGCCCTGGAGGAGGCAGAGTCCTCGGGACAGGGTGGGATGCAAAGGCTATTTACGGTAGAAAGGGCATAGAATAAAAACAACAACAATAGCAGCGGTGGTGGTAGTTGTAGTTGTGGTAGTAGTAGTAACAAAGGCAGTAAATGGTATTCTTGGGTTTGCATCCTACCCTACATTTATTAGCTGCATGACCTTGGGTAGAATTCTTAGCCCTCATCGTATCAGCTTTTAAACAGCCAGTGGGTTGTTTTGCAGATGAAAGGCAAACTGTTGGCGTCTAATAGATGCATAGAGAGAGTCTGGAACAGAGGAGTTCACGCCTTCGAAAGGCTGACACTCTGCCAATACAAGAGTTTCATGCATGCACTCCCTCACTCATCCACTCACTCGCTCATTTATGAAGTCTCCATGGAACGCTGACTGTGCCTCAGGCCCTGAGCTAAGCCACAGGGATATGGAAGTGAACAAAGCAACCCCGTGTCTGCTCCGGGGAGTTTCCACTCTTGTAGGAAGGACAGAAGCAGCAAGCAACATAAACATACATGCAGAAGAAAGAGACCAAGCAGTGATCAGCGCACTGAAGGAAGACAGAGATCCTACACGGAGTGAGGGAACAAGCACTGGGGCAGAGGGGCTGGTGCAGGGACAAACTCCTGGAGAGCTTCCCTCTGGCCACAGAGAGCCCCCAGAGCCAAGACTGCAAGCTCTCTGAGCAGCAACCTCCCTCCCTCTGTCCCAGGTCTCGGGAACTCACCCTTCTCTGCATGGACCCACAGACCAGACTCCACTGGGGGTGCAGCAGGCAACCTGCACTGCCAGCCAGCATGCTGATGATGCTGGGAGGACTGGGTATGGGAGATGAGAAGCAGCCTCAAAGAACGGCTGACCGCATGGTCCGAGGGAAGCGAGTACATACAAGGAAAGATGCCAGAATGTTCGCCAGGCATCACTGCTACAGGTTGCAAGAGACAAGGAAGGTCCCAGCGTGTGAGGGCTGTGGGATGCCAAGCAGAGGAAGGAGGAAGCTCCACAGCCTTGGTGCGGGTGGAGGGGGTGAGACAAGTGCAGGGCGGCTGCTGGCATCCTGGCACCCCAAAAGTGAGATGAAAAAGAGCACAAGCCCCGACGCCCCCACTGTAAAATGTGTTGCATCTAAGGAGGAGCCTGAGGCTCCCTTACAGCAAGCCACAGACTCCAAGCACCCATCTGAGCCCTCACTTTCACTACAGTGGCCTCCCCTTGGCCTCTAATGCCAGCTTCAAGGTCACTTCCTACAGGGCTCCAAGGGACCTGCCCACCATGCGTACTGGTGGGCATTTGGAAACTGTGACATTTAGCCCCCACTTTAACCTCCAGCTTGGTAGAAGATCTAGAAAGGAGATTACATGAACTAATCTGACCCTCTGCCCTTTTTTTAGGCCATTCAAAGGCCTGCAACCCAAACTGGCAGACACGTACCACGTACACCCCACCGCCCACACCTCCAGCCTCCCCTGACCCTCAGCAGGCACAGAAGGCCATCCAGGACACTCCTCTGCCCTCAGGGCAGTGGATGGCCTCATAACAGCTCTCAAGCCCACTCCAGAATCACTGTGGATTTGATGGCACAACACCAAGGCTTGGGCTCTTCACAGCATCGGCTGGCCTTCGTAACAAAATGGTGCTTACAGGCCACGGGCAGACCAGGTGGTCTGATGCTTTTCCGTCTAGCAGGACAAGGCATTATATGACGCTTCTGCACATCTCCCGTCTCTGTGTGAGCAGTCCCCTGGTTGAGGTTAGAGTTCTGAGAAAAAACATGTTCTGTTTGAAGCCAAGGGTTGGCTGAACGCTTCGGTCTCAGATTGAAAGCAATTTAGCCCAGCTAGCCATGAAGGTGCTTAGCAAAAGTCACCACGCTCGAAGATAAGGTGCACGTGTATGTCTGTGTGTGCATCTCTGTGTGTGTGCACATACGTGTGTGTAGAGTTATACGCAGAAGGAAAGTCTGAAGACAGGAGGCGATAAAGAAGACAGATAAGATCTGAAGTCTCCCAAGAGCTGAGAAGAGCGAGCCATGTACCGGTATCAAGGGTAAATCAAGAGGTATGCTGGGAAAAGGCTTTTATGATCAGCCTTATTTGGAGCCAGTCCATGTTTCTCTTTAATTGCACCTCTCATTTTCTTGAGTAATAATTATAAGGCTAACTTTTCAAATAAAATCAAATCGTTCCTCTGCTTTATACAGACATGTTGCAAGGCAGGTTAAGGCAAGTTTCCCAAACCCCTGTCCTGGGCAGCCAGTCGTGGGGGGTTCAGTGCAGAGAGCTGGGTTAGGAAGCTGTTCTGAGCCCAGTTCCCACACTGATCCTCTGAGGGCAAGCCACTTGAGAAGATGGGTCTGTGGGCCCCTGAGCCTTGGGTGATCTCAGTTTCCTTGTTGATTTGATAATAAAATGTGTGTGTGTGTGTGTGTGTGTGTGTGTGTGTATGTGTATGAGAGAGGAAGAGAGAGAGAGAGAGAGAGGGAGAGGGAGAGGGAGAGGGAGAGGGAGAGGGAGAGGGAGAAGGAGAGGGAGAAGGAGAGGGAGAAGGAGAGGGAGGGAGAGGGAGGGAGAGAGGGAGGGAGGGAGGGAGGGAGGGAGGGAGGGAGGGAGGGAGGGAGGGAGAAAGGGATGGGGAGTAGCTTAACCGTTTTGCAGAGCAAATCAGTAATTCATTTCTATAACATTCAATGCTGAATCTATCCCTAGCCCATCACTAACCTCTGCCATTGATCAAGGGATCCTAGCAACAGTGAGATGCAAGTTCTGACAAGGCCCTGGTTTCACTGTGTAAGAAATCAAAGCCACAGTCTTCTATTGGCTCAGTAAAACCTTCGGGCACCCAACAAAACGAAAGCTTCCCTCTGCCGACGCTCACTAGGACTGCGGTTTCTCAGCCTCAGAAAGGGCTGCTGTCTCACAGCAAAGGAGGTAAAGTCACTCCCAAACACACACACCGCTGTCCGTGCTTTGAAGACGCATTACCAGACATCCCCTGCTTTGCTCCGTATCCGAGGCAGATTCCCGCAAGCTGCATCTCCCGGGCTCATTTTGCCCTCCAGCTCTGGGTTCAGTTTGGCCCATGGGAGGCCCTGGCAGGAGACTGGGAGATACCAGGGCCTTGCTCCTCCTCCCTCTTGGCACCCGCAGTGTCTCTGGCAGCGATTCCACCTCCCATCGGAGAACTGCTCCCTCTGTGGTCCCAGCGCCTGCTGGGTGGCTTCTCCAACACCCACCACCTCCCTTTGATGCTCAGCCCTTCAGGTAATGGCTGGGTTGCCTAACCGCTCCTGCATCCTCTCCAGCCTTGGCAATGGATGCCTTCATGAACCAGCCGGCACCCGGAGTATCGCCCTGTGCAGAGCCCCTGTCCTCTGGAGGACAGAGACAAGGAGGACACAGACGCCACACGATGAATTTGGCACGTTCATCCATTACTGGCAGCCAAGGTCTTGTGTGGTGCATCTGCTTGACCAGTCAGTGCGACTTGCACTCGGTGTGTGTTGGAATGGAAGGAATGCAGGATAGAGAACTAAAGAGCGAGGTCTCCCATGCAGCTGTGTGACCTTTGCCAACTGCCTTAGAGCCACACGACCTGGGAATGACAGCTCATGTGGTCTGCTGACTGCCTGTTGGCCTCAAACAGGGAGGGCAAGGACACAGGTGTTAGAAAGTGAAGTGGCCACGGCACATCTAAATATATTGCTATCGTATGAGACACAGTCGATTTTCACACAGCAGGAAATGCTTTGCTCTTGGCCAAGATTGACTTTGACTTTGCAGCCTGATTTGTACTGAACGTATTAACACAGAAAATGAATGTCGACTAGTGCCCGGCACATCACAAGAGCTATGTGGGTCCCAGCCATGAGTGCTAAGCTGGGTCCCCTTGGCATTGTGATGTGTCAGCTTGACAAAGACCATGCAGCGAGGTCAAGGTGAACTTACCGATGTCGAGAACCCTCTGCTTTGCTGTGTGCTGCCGAGAGTGCCAGTACTTCCAGTATTTCAGTTGTTCATCTCGGTTTTTGTCTTCACTGAACACCACCATCACCACGCTCTGCAGAGGAGAGAATGGCGGCACTTACTCCGTGGTCAATGCCTCTGTGACCTAGTCCATCTCCAGTTCTGGAAACTCTACCTGGGATGTATCCCTGTGATCTGGCTTCTCTTGCTTTAGTTTTCTAAAGCAAGAGCTGAGCCATACAGTGAGCCCCGCCATCTGGTTGGTTTTGTTTTAAAAGGGGACCACTTAAAATGTAACCTGGGCAGGTGTTTGGCCAGCAGTTAAGACGCTGCTTGGGATGCCTTTATCTTACATTAAGGGGCCTAAGCTTGAGTCCCAGTTCTGCTTCCAACTCCAGCTTCCTGCTAACGCACACCCTGGGAGGCACCAAGTGATGGTTCAAGTACTGGGATGCTTGCTACCTACAAGGTAGATCCAGGTTTAGCTCCAGGTTCCAGGCCTCAGCCTGGGGCAGCCCCAGCTATTGCAGGCATTTGGGGAGCGAACTAGACAGGTGTCTCTTTCTACCTCTTCCTTCTGCCTTTTTTTAAATGATTTATTTATTTGAAAGTCAAAGTTACAGAGAGGTAGAGGGAGAGAGAGAGTGAGAGAGAAAGTCTTCCATCCACTGGTTCACTCTCCAAAGGGTAGAAAAGGCCAGGGCTGGGCCAAGCAAAAGCCAGGAGCCTCATCTGGGTCTCCCACATGGGTGCAGGGACCCAAGTACTTGTGTCACCTTCCACTGCTTTCCCAGGCACATTAGCAGGGAGCTGAATAGAAGTGGAGCAGCTGGGACATGAACCAGCACCCAGATGGGATGCCGGCACTGCAGGCAGTGGCTTCACCTGCTCTGCCACAGTGCTGGCCCCTTCTCTCTCCTTTCAAATAATTTCTCTCCTTCCCTCCCTCCCTCCCTCTCTCTTCCCACCTTTCACATTAATCCATTAATATTTTTTTATTTTTATGATAAGTCTATTTTGGTGCAAACTTGAAACTCCTTGCACAATTTTTTTCTACAATATATTGGTTTTTCCATGAACTTTTTGAATGTCCCTTTATATGCATGGATTGCAAAAACTTTTGCACCAAAATAAACTTGTCTTCAATGACAACATCTTAAACTTCCCGAAGCACCTGCTATCCGGGGGTGGCTCTCAGTTCAAAACCTGGTTCATTCCTAATGTTGTGTGAACATTTTTACATAAGAGAGCGACGTTGGTTAGGAGAGCGTGACTGAGAACGCTGCATCACACATCATTCACAGCGTGACGTGGCTTCCACAGACGTGTCCAAGTGGCAACAAAAGGCCCCACTCCCCATGCTGGTGGGACTGTGGGCCCAACCAGCCCTTCTGTCTTCTCTCTCCCACTCCCTCAAATGTTCCCACCCACAGGGAAGCCTCCCAAAGTTCATCACCCAAGAAACAAAAGATAAGGGTTTTTGGTTAAACAACTTCAGCATTAATGCGTAGCTTTTTTTCACCAATGATTCATGTCTTCCATGAACTTTTTGAAGACCTCCACTCCCCTGCTTCTATGTATAAAAATTTGCTGTGTGGCTTCCTGGTGTTTATTTCTGTCTCAAAATGAAAATAACATTTAAAGTTTTTTTTTTAAGCAAACGGCTAAATTAGTATCCATAATGGCATGTTCCTGGGACAGAAATTTATTTCATCAACAATACAGAAAAAAATCAGTTTGAAATCGTTGTTATTAAGCCTTACATGCTTTGACTTGAAATTAAATGCCGGACTCAAAAAAACAAATGTTGGCTGGATACAGGTGCACCCGGCTTTCTTCAAGACTGCTTGATACCCAGAGCCAAGGAGTAAGAAACGTCCCCTCCGAGAGGCACCAACTTGCTTACTCAAAGTGTTAGATTGAAGCCCTGAAGACAATGGGGTTCGGAAGGGGTCCACTTTGTTTTAGCCAGAAATGGAGCATACAGGAACAAACCTTCCATATTACATCACTTCCACCATTCCTACACAGTGGGATTCCCAGGAAACTCCCTGTGCTCCAAATACCCCCTCCTCCTCCTTTGTTCAGGGTAACAGCAATGGCGTAGTTGTTTAAAAGGGAGAATGTGAGTCGTGTCACAGCCTGCATCCCACACCAGAGTGCTGGTTTAAGTTCCAGCTCCTCCGCTTCCGGAAAAGCTTCCCGTTAATGTGCCTGGGAACACAGCAGCTGGTGCAGTGCTTGGGCTCCCACCACACAGCAGGATGGATTTCCGGGTTCCTGGCTTTGGCTGGTACAGGCCCAGCTGTTGCAGTCACTTGGAAAGTGAACCAGCGGATGGAAGATGTCCTCCCCCTCTCTCTACCCCTCCATCCCTAAGGAAATCTCTTATTGAAAACGCAACCCACGTGTAACAAGGTAGGGCTGTACTGTGTCTATCCCGAGGTGGAGGCCTCCATGCTGCTCACCACAGCACACCCGAGCAGACCTGGGAAAGCTGTGCCCTGCCAATGACCATCTCGGTGTTTACAACATCCCTGCTAGCGGCTGAGAGAGCTGGGTTCAAGAAGTTGGTGGCCCCGGGATGTACTCTGGTTCCCTCACATTGTAGCTGTGTGATCTTGTCCAGTTACTGGCTTCTAAAAGCCCAAGCTCAGTAATAGTCTAAAAACAACAGAACCTTTTGCAGGGAATTGGCATTCGTGTCGATGAGCGGCTCAATTGCACGGTGCAAACCCAGCGCCCAGCCCGTGGAAGATCCTCAGCAAACACGAGTGGTGATATTCTGACTCTCGTGTTGGCAGCCTCCCTCTCCGCGGTCATGGCCACAGAGTGGGACATCCTAATTCTCCTGGAGGCACGCAGCACGCCAGGCACCTCTCCACCTGCAGCCTCGTGCGAGGTCTTGGCCCCACGTGAAGGGGCTAAACCCAGGCTGGACCCTGTTCTGCGCCCACTGAGCTGTTCCCCTCTTACTGTTCTGAAGAGCTTAGGCGGAGGCAACTCAGACAAACCAGCACAAATCATCTTACAGCCGACCAGCAAAGTCCTTCACCCTCTTTGCAGAGCTGTGCTATAATTTCCCTTTTCAGCAGGGAAAGGATTAGCCGTCACCTCCCTCCTTGGCAGCAGTGACAATGCCAGCAGCTGGCGGGCTTCCAGAGCAGTGAGCCAGGGCTCCGGTTTCACTTCCCACAAGTAGGACTAACACTCACCCACCTGGAAATCCCTCCCAGTTCCTCCTGGTGGGGACCACGCCTCAGCCCTGGAACCCTGAGTGAGCCCCAGGCTGCAGAGGGTTTTAAACAAAGTGCCAAGGGCTCCAGGGACTGAGGCTGAGTCGTGTTCTCCTGAACAGAGCACAGCTCCTCCTCATCCACCAGCATATTCTGACTTAAAGCCACTTATTTGAAAAACTACAGACGGACTGATGGAGACGACAGGTAGCACACAGGCAGGGAATGGAGGAAGGAAAGCTCCCTGGGTACAGTCAGAAGGCACGTTCCAGCCACGGTCCTTCCCGGGGGGTTTATTGGTTACTGATTAAAATGATAAACCACCAGCCGATACATTATTCTCTTGCTCTCTCTGACATTTGTTCCAGAATTATTTCATTTGGCATTTTTTCCATGCCATTCCACAAGGCTGCGAGGCAGCCACCATACTCACGGACCCTCCTAGGTTGAGAAACGAGGCCCCTACCCTGACTTTGCTGATGGGGTGTCGGAAGCATTTGTTGTCCCCGGTCTCGCTGAGCGTGATGGCATAGAACTGTCCTTTGTTGAGGTAGGTCATGGGGCCTTCCCCCTGCTTCTGGCGGAGCGACTTGGTGGCTTCCAGGGTGTACTGAAACGTGCCGCTGCGAGCAGACAACAAACACCGATCAGATTGGCATGGCACGGGTTTCTGCGCTCCCGCCGAACTTTGCATCCATAGCATTTCGTATGAATATTAACCAATGTTTACTCGGTTTCAGAGACAAAATACAGCATATGGCAAAAACACACGAGACCAGACCAAAGGTCACTGCTATACAACACCCACACCATGTCTAATAGTGGCCCATAAACCAGATGGTTTAAAAGGGAAAAGTCCACCTGGTGCCTAGACAATCGTGTAAGCTTGTGCCCAGAGAACTGCTGATGGGTCTCAGCTGACAGCCAGGTAATGCCTGAAGCTCAAGAATGAATGGAATTAACCAATCAATTTTATCCTAACAACAAGCCAAATGATGAATGCTTTTTGTTCAACTCTTGGATATGCCTAACCACTTTTTTTTTTTTTTTTTTTGTCAAATGGAGATGTTGCAAGCAACTATATGCCAGTTAAAAAGTGTGAAAATCAAAAACCCACATATTCACTCCTGGGAATCTAGTGTCCTAACAGGGAGTGTTTGTTGCCTTTTCTTCATGTTTGTAAGCCTGTAAGAGAATTCACAACAGGTTGCTCTAAATCAAGAGTTTGCAAATGACAGTCTGCAGGCCATAGACAGCTCACCACCTGTTGTTGTAAATAAAGTTTTATTAGACCACAGTTATGCCCATTTGTGTATGTACTGTCTATGACTGCTTCCACGCTGCAACAGAAAGACTGAGTAGTAGTGATAGACGTGGGAACCTTCCAAATCTAAAGTATTTATGACCTAGTGCATTACAGAAAAAGCGTGCACATCTCTGCTCTAGTTCCCCTAGTATTTTTTTTTTTAATTTTTTTTTAATTTTTGACAGGCAAGAGTGGACAGTGAGAGAGAGAGACAGAGAGAAAGGTCTTCCTTTAACCATTGGTTCACCCTCCAATGGCCACTGCAGCCGGCGCACCGCGCTGATCCAAAGCCAGGAGCCAGGTGCTTCTCCTGGTCTCCCATGCGGGTGCAGGGCTCAAGGACCTGAGCCATCCTCCACTGCACTCCTGGGCCACAGCAGAGAGCTGGACTGGAAGAGGAGCAACCGGGACAGAATCCGGTGCCCCGACTGGGACTAGAACCCGGTGTGCCAGCGCCACAGGCAGAGGATTAGCCTATTGAGCCGTGGCGCTGGCCTCCCCTAGTATTTTTAAAATGCGGTGTCACTTATAAAAACACTGATTCTTCCCTACACAGTCATTGTTGCCTAGTGTGTCTGCTCAGAAATATTCCTGTCTGCCGCACTGCGATGGCACACTGTGAGAGCCCAACCAAAAATCCCCACCGCGTTTCTGACCCATGAGAACCTCTCCACTGGCTCTGTGCCTTTTCCAGCTCTTTCATTTCCTAATCTTTGAAAGGCTGAGCACAAAGAGGACTCTTAAAACTTCATCTACTAAAATAGCCTACTTACAGGATCACGACGGGCTCTGGCTTTCTGTGTTAAATATTTCCATAATGTTTCATTGACTTTTAAACTTTATAATGAGAAAAAAAAGTTTGAGGGACAAAAATCACATTCCTCTGATACAATGAAAATCTCAGGCTCATGCCAATCAACTGAACCAATTCCAGAATACGTGGCTTAGAACAAAGTGAGAAATAAATCACTCAAGACAGAACCAATTTCCTTGTCATTTTGCCTGAAAAAGCAATTTCAATGCAGTGCCAATGAATCATAACATTTTAGACCAAGACAGGATCCTAGGAATCAGCTAGACCAGTAGCTGTACCTTATCAGGGCACAAACCTAAGGGGAACTGTGAAACCTCTTCCCAGGAAAGGCACAGAGGAACAGAAACGACTTTTAATACAGTTTCAGGATTTGGGGCCTGCAAGCTTATCTATAATGCAGGACTAGAACCCAAGATTCAGCCACCTTCCTCATCTCACAGTTGTGGGAGACCCTGAGACACCCCCACCCCAGAAAGAGAAGTCGGGTCTGGTGGGTGGTAAGTCAGTGCTCTTGTCACTTAGACAGGCCGCCCTGTGTTTGTCAATGCAAATTTGGTACTCATTTCCACCATTCAGAAGGGGGTTTGGGATGCTACCTTCTCTGCGTCCCCTAGCACACCACATTTGTACTCATCAGGAGAGGGTAACCGGGGAGCCCAAGACAAGACCAAGACTTTGAAACACCCAGAGGACTTGGAAGGGTCACTTACGTAATATATATGGTGGAAGATAAAGTTCATGAAGAACATTAAGCCAGGACAGATCGGAACATAGAGGGCCTTAACCACCCTGGCAAGGAGTCTGAAGTGTTTCATCCTGTCTGAAACAGTGAGATCCCTGGCAGGTCTTATAAATGGAAGAGAGAATTCCATTGCTTGCTATTGTCTTGAATCCAGTCATGATCACAACTACTGTCTTTACCTCTCTACCTAAAATGTTCTTGATCCTGTTTTCCCTAGAAAACATCCATTATAAACCCTTCAAGATCCAGCTCAAATGCCACTGAGCTCTCTGTTTATCTGTAGTAAGACTCATCACTTAGGAAATGTACTACAATTTAGCCATCATCACATTTGTCTCCCCCTAAAGTCTCAGGAGGGTTTATAGCATATCTCCAATCTCCCATTGCCGGGACAGGAGGGGCACCTGTGTGCATGACAGCTGGTAGCCACATGCAAAGTGGGATGGGAAAGGCAGTACTGGCAGGGAGATCAGCTGTATGTTGACAGTTCAGAAGGCTGCCAAGAGAAGGTGGGAAGGGGATGGCAGGTAGCAGGGCAGGTAGGAGGGCAGCCCCTCACACCTCCAGCTGGGCTGGCTCAGAGGATGGGTATGTCATTAGAAACAGCCCGAAGTACGAGTGGAAGATCAGAGGCAAAGCAAGGGGACAAGGGGGCAAGAAGAGGAAAAGACAAAGGGTTGCATTTCACATCTGTTTGGCTGGAGGCACAGGAGTTTAAGTTCAGAGGAAACCTGGAAAAGTGTGTAGCTAATGGGAGGAAGAAGGAAGCATTGGTCCCAGGAACGTGGTTAAGAATGGAAATAATGATACAGATGTCATTTATACACAGACAGCTGTATAAGAATCAAAGGCAAATGAAATCATATTATTGTATTTAAGTATACAAAGAATAGGCTTAAAAGTATAACTTGGGAGGTTCATTTAAACAATTATGATTCAAGACAAACCTCCTGGTAACCTACCTTGAAGTCTGGTCATACATGTACTCCTCAGCCCCGACAGAAGTGCTCCGAAATTTCTGCAAAATTTAAAAGTCATCAAAGTTGAAACAAATTGGTGGGTAATCACTCCAAAAATAAGTGTATCCTAGCTCTTTTATTCTCTCCTTAGAAAATTACATATTTCTGATATCGTTTTCAACTCCAATGAAGATAGTTATCATTACTCCACAAAACTCACAGATCACCTCCACACTGAGAACCACATTCAACAGAAAATGCATGTGTGCTTTTTATGTTATTTACATGTCAACATTTCTTCCTTTTCTATAGTCCCAGACAACTTACTCCTGATGTCACAAGGATCAGTTCTAGCTCCTTTACCCGCTCCCCAGTGTAACTGTCATATTTTCTATTTACAGTGGTCAGAAGGATCAAATGGGTTAATAAAATGCCAAGGAGAGCCTCCAGTAGACAGTGAGTGCTCTCTACAAAGGGACTTCAAATGTTCATGAAAATGGAAATAAAAGCTAAGTTTATCTTGGTGCAAAACATTTTCGGAATCCATGCCATTTTTTCATGCCAAGTATTTTCCATGGCTTTTGCAAGGCCCCTCATATATGTGCCTCAAAAACTGATAAATAGGAATAGCTTGGCCATATTCACTTCCCTTCTCTAAGGATCTCTATTATAATATTCTAACACTTGGTTTTTTTGGGGGAAGAAAGTCCAACTTTAGGAACACACAAAGAAGCATGGGTCCAGGGGTGTTCAGTTGTTATATACATAGTGCAAACAGGATATACTTTGCTATATTTTCAACCCTTTTCAGAAGTAGATGATCTAAAGCCTCAAGCTTTTTTTAATATTGTTAATATTAAGTATTATTTTTTATTTTTATTTTTTTATTTGGTAAATATAAATTTCCAAAGTACAGTTTATGGATTACAATGGCTTCCCCCCATAAATTCCCTCCCACTCGCACCTCTCCCATCTCCCGCTCCCTCTCCCATTCCATTCACATCAAGATTCATTTTCAATTATCTTTATATACAGAAGATCGATTTAGTATATATTAAGTAAAGATTTCATAAGTTTGCACCCACACAGAAACACAAAGTGTAAAATACTGTTTCAGTACTAGTTATAGCATTAATTCATATTGGACAACACATTACGGACAGATCCCACATGAGAAGTAAGTACACAGTGACTCCTGTTGTTGACTTGACAATTTGACACATTTGTTTATGGCGTCAGAAATCTCCCTAGGCTCTAGTCATGAGTTGCCAAGGCTATGGAAGCCTTCGATCTTATTCCAACAGGGTCATAGTCAAAGTGGAAGTTCTCTCCTCCCTTCAGAGAAAGGTACCTCCTTCTTTGATGGCCCCCTTCTTTCTACTGGGATCTCACTCGCAGAGATCTTTCATTTAGGTTTTTTTTTCCCCCAGAGTGTCTTGGCTTTCCATGCCTAAAATACTCTCATGGGGCTCTTCAGCCAGATCCAAATGCCTTAAGGGCTGATTCTGAAGCCAGAGTGCTATTTAGGACATCTGGCATTCTATGAGTCTGCTGTGTATCCCGCTTCCCATGATGGATTGTTCTCTCCCTTTCTGATTCTATCAGTTAGTATTAGCAGACACTAGTCTTGTTTGTGTGATCCCTTTGACTCTTAGACCTATCAGTGTGATCAATTGTGAACTGAAATTGATCACTTGGACTAGGGAGATGGCATTGGTACATGCCACCTTGATGGGATTGTATTGGAATCCCCTGGCACATTTCTAACTCCACCATTTGGGGCAAGTCCGATTGAGCATGTCCCAAATTGTACATCTCCTCCCTCTCTTATTCCCACTCTTATATTTAACAGGGATCACTTTTCAGTTAAAATTTAAACACCTAAAAGAAACAACATCCTTGTCTCTCATGGCTGTGTCATAAACTTCCAGTTTTTGACCATTATTGCAAGGGTTTCCTTCCTAAGAAAGAGTGTCTCAGTTATTAGCTAACATTTCTTGGCAGTCCCTGACCCCCTTGTCTAGAACTTAGCATACCCTTATGTCATAGTTTCTATGTGGCTGTTTATAATCTCTATCCAGGCTTATTCCTTGTGTTCAAGAAGTTTTATCCAAATGAATCCCATAAACACTGCACAAATATTTGTAGACTGGCTGAGTAAACTTAACAGAGAGTCAGTGGTACAGATTTGTTTCTTTGGTAATTAACCAGCAAAGCAATCATTGGGGGCCTTATCATCTACTTGATGCCAGAAGAAATACAAGTATCTAAGACACTGTCCTGGCTCAGAGACATAAAAAAAGGGTTGGGAGGATGGAACAAATTCATATGAAAACAACAAAATAAACTTAAGTAGAATAACTGCATATAAAAACTTATGTTGAATCATCCAACCATTGAGTCCTGATGGGAAAAACAGAGGACAAAGGATACTGCCAGGAAAGGAAGGTTAGAACTGTAGGGAGATCGCACAGAGATTGTGAACTTTCCTCTCTCCTTCGCAAGTTAAGGAGAACCTGGATAAATTGAAGGAATCCAGGTGAGAAAAGACCAACCTGGGTCGAGACAAATGATCGGTACAGCAGTGGGGCTAAGAACACAGGCCTGGGATGGGTGTTTGGTGCAACAGTTAAGACGCAACCTGGGATGCCTTATCCCATTTATCAGAGTGCCTGGGTTTGAGCTGGCTCTACTTCTGGTTCCAGCTTCCTGCTAACGTGAACCCCGGGAGGAGCAGACAACAGCTCAAGGACTTGAGTCCCTGCCACCCATGCGGGAGACCCTGCTCAAGTCCCAGGCTCCTGGCTTCAGACATTAGGAGAATAAACAAGTAGATGGAAGAGCTCGCTCTCTCGCTCTCTCGCTCTCTCTCTTTCTGGAGCGCTTGTGCTCTGCTTTTCAAATAAAAATGAAAACTTTTTATAAGAATATAGGTCTAGCCTGAGTACAAAGGGTGAACTAAGCCTTTAATGCCCCACACAATAGCCACTAGATATTTAAATTCAAGCATCGGAATTCAATAAAATTACTCTTTCCATCTCCAGCAACCTTAGCGAGAGGAGCCGCCCACACGACCGCGCACCTGCAGAGGATGGCGGTGCGCAACTGCTCCAGCTCCCGGATGGAGAGGAACAAGCAGACACACAGCACAGAACCCAATAACCGGAAGGTCCGCAACTCCTTCTGCTACAGTCTCCAGAGCTACTGCAAGACTGCAGGCTTGGATCCGACAGCGGATGGCAAGGGTGTCATGGAGGTCATGAAGCAGACCTTCCATGTGCGGACCGCCATCAACAAGAATACAGGGGACCACCCTTAGCATCATCCGGCACTGATTCATGAGAGCAGGTACAGCCCTGACCTGCGCACAGCTGCCATCTGAGAGCCAGCACCACCCTGTGCAGCCAGCAGGCTGTGATGAAGTGGAGGTGCACCCGTGCCACCCAGAGCTCCAGAACCACCTCACCCCAAAGCAATGAAGACTCCGACTTGTCTTTAAAAAAAAAATTAAATGAAATTAAACATTCATTTCCTCAGTCAACTAGCTGTATTTCAAGCACTAAATTAGCACCTGTGGTTACCATGTTGGATAGAAGAAGAAAATTCCCATTACTGCAGCAAGATCTGTTAGAGTGGATTTAAGAAAAGATATTTAGGAGCTGGCACTGTAGTGGAGCAGGTAAGGACGCCTTGCCTTCTGCAGTGCCAGCATCCCATATGGGTGCTGGGTGGAGTCCCAGTGGCTCCACTTATCATCCAGCTCCCTGCTAATGCGCCTGGGAAAGAAGTGAAGATGGCCTTGGTGCTTGGGCCCCTGCACCCAGGTGGGAGACCAGGAAGAAGCTCCTGGCTCCAGGCTCTGGCCTGGCCCAGCCTCCAGCTGCTGCAGCCATTTGGGGAATGAACCTGTGTATGGAAGACCCTCCCCCGCCCCCCGCCACCTCTGCTTCTGCCTCTCCTCCTCTGTAACTCTGACTTTCAACTAAATCATTTTTTAAAAAAGAAAAAAGATATAACGAAAGCTGTTTACACTTGGAATCAATAGCAACTAACAGATTTGGGGGTAGGAGGGTAGCATGATGACCAAAGCACTTAAGTGCCTTTGCCATAGGAGAGCCGTGTCGATAGAATCTGTGCTCAGAGGAACAGGCAGTCACCCACAACCTCCGCTAATAACACAGCTGGAGTGAACTCACTGCCCTGCCTCAGCTCTACAGCCTGAGAGGCCGGCTGACCAACACACTAGACTTGCAAATGCTCTGCCTCCAGTCCCCTAGTACTGACGTGAGAAGGCCTGAAACTGGCAGGATTGAAAGTCATGGGATGTGATGTGTGATGATGCAGAATCCTACCCTGATGCATGGATTCATGTGGGCAAAACTGGAAAAAGAAAAACAGGGGGTAGGTTAGAGACACAGTATCTGCTCTTTAAACTTACATTTTTTCTTTAGTTTCTTTAAAAAAAATCCTTTTTTTTGAAAACAGTTCTACTATCTTATACCTTTGCTTATTTACTTTCATTTACTTGAAAGGCAGAGAGAGAGAGAGAGAGAGAGAAAATGAAAATGAATCTTCCATCTACTGGTTCATTCCCCAGATGCCTACAAAGCCAGCACTGTGCCAGGAGCCAGGAACTCCATCCGGTTCTCCCACGTGGGTGGCAGGGGCCCAAGCACTTGAACCATCATCTGCTGCTTCCCAACATGTGTTACCAAGAAACTGGATCACAAGCAAAGAGGCCAGGACTCAAACCAGCTCCTAAGTAGCAGCTTCACGTTCTGTTCCACAGTAACTACCTCTTAAAAACTGTCTTTTGTTCTGTTACATGATCTTTATAGCTTTATAAAAAATTAAATGGAGAATCCTGCTGGAAAACATTGCAGTCCTTTAGATGAGATCTGATCACTTGCCGAGTTCCTCAACTTTACATGATTCAGAACTAAGAATTGCAACAAAGTAGCCGGGTCATTCTGGCCAGTTACTAAGTTTCCACAGCTACTCGGAAATATTTTAATGTCACCACAGGATGACAAAGGACAGTCAGACAGCCGACAGCACT